TCTCTGCCCGTGAAAAATAATAGAGACCGTTTGCGCAGTCGTATTTTATTAAAAAAAAAAAAAACAAATAGGGGTGAACCGCGATGGACACAACCAATCAACCAAAACTCATTTCGATTCCTCCGTAAAAATTTTTAAAAGAAAAAGAAAGCTACTTAGATTTAGGGCCTTACAAATAACGAGCAAATTTAACACTCAACCCCCTCTCTGTGAAGTACCTTAGGTAGGTCGGTAGGGGTATGGGTAACACGAGCGTCTGATATTTTTAACGCGTTTCATTTCATTTTTGATCAAAATAAAAAGCTTTTATGAGGTTTATACTTGGAATAGCCCTTATTAATGGCTTTGTAGCACAATTTGCTACCAGTGGGAGTCATATCCGCCTATTCGATACTAGGAAAACGATTATTTTCATAGGCAGAGCTCCGTCCGGCTGTGTTGAGAACGCATGCAACAACGCAATATTACGCGATAATTACTGGCCTTATTGTTGTGCAAAGAGTGTTTTAACTGAAGATAATTTTCTCATTAATTGAAACAAAGATCTGAGCATGAAGTGACAATTATAAATCGCACTGGATCATGATGAAGCATTTAAACATCGGCAACAAGCAAAACAGTTGAAAAAAGATCAGAGATATAGCAATTTGGCCACTACGTGTGTATGTGTTATAAAACACGGACGTCTATAATTTTCAAAACATTCCTTTGTTTATCAAAAAATGTCGCACGAAATTAATAGAGCTTTTCGACTTCTTTATTAGGGTACTTTTTGTACACAAAATTGCCTCCAGTGAAAGTTGTGCTGCGCCTGTTTCTTCCTAAACACGAGCTGTACGATCGGGAGCGCCACATTAAATTTGGCGGGCATTTAATAGGTTTTGGCGCGGACATGTTCGAAGCAGAAATAAATAAATTAAAGGAAAAAAATCGAACACTGTGCTTACCTTTAAGGAGTCTTACGATTAATCAAGTCATTATACAAACCAGAATTAATGTGTCGCAAGGTAAACCTACTGATCTAAGGCTGAATTGACCTCGCATTTGAACCAATGTGAAGAAGGAAGGCTGGCCATCTCCGGTTTTCAGAAGAGAAGCTTGAATTCTCCTAACCTGTCCGATCTGTTTAAATGTTCTTGAAATACCAATCGCTTCTAAGGGAAGCGATTTTGATCGCGAATCAACACAGAAATTCTCGACCAGGAAACGGCAAAAAGTAACCCACATATACTCCATACAATGATGGCTTGATTGGGCTGATCCGATCCGGAGAACAGTTGAAAAGACCGCGCTCGACTTTATTTACATGTTTTTACCCCGCCTAGTATTGTTTTAACCATATTAACAGACAGTTGCGAAATTTAGAATCGTTTCATCGCCTCTGTGAAGATCACTACCGATGACAGCTAATCTGACCCCTGCTAACATGCACGAGGTCGGAGGTAAAATTCTAACAGGAAATTGAGTATAGCAACCGTCACTCAAGATAATTAAAAAAGGGACTTTACGCGGCTCCTCATAGTATGTCTGGAGTCTGGAGCTCAGTTCTGGCTTCGCTGAGTAATGTATCGAAAAAAAGGGCAATGAAAAAGTATAACACAATTTTGACGTTCAAACATACTGCTCCGAAGTGTCGTCGGATTTAACGAGTCTTACGCACGTTTCACGGACATTAAAAAGTAGGAATTAGGCATCACGTTAATTAAAATTCCTTGTTCACGTTTCACAAACATTTCCGAAGTGAAAGGACTGTAATTCACGGATTTTAATTTGGTATTTTCACCTTTCTCGAAAATTGAAATATGCTATATCACGCAATAACCCCTTTCATGTCCGTGTGAGTATAATTCAAAGCGCATGAAGCATTCCAAACCACAACAAACCTAAGTGAACTATTGTTTCTATTTTGAAGCCTGAGCACTTTGGAATGCAGTTTCACAAACAAATACCGTTGTTAGGTTCGGTTTTGAATGTTTGCGGTCTTATCTACTATTATCAAAGGGGTTGTTTTTTTTTCACGGCTGGCTGTTCATTTAGTTTATAATGCCAGTTACGTGGCCTTATTCGATATGGACCTTGAGCAATTACTCGTGAATGACCAAATTACAGCTTCTTGCCAAACAACCAATACAGTCAAACCCCGCGACTAAGAACCTGGATTTTAAGAACCTGTTAGGCTAAAATTTTCCAGTTAAGCCCCCTCTATATAAGAACCTGTTTAGCCTAAAATTTGAAACAGTTTCTTATTTTCGAAAATCTATGAAAAAATTCAGTACACTTGGGCAAATAAGATAAGTCAACATTCAGAATCCTCTTTGGAGACAAAGGTGTCGTATCACTCGAACTGCAATCTAACGGTCTGCAGGTTTTATATGAGGAATAAGCTGAACCACTGAATACTCTCAGCTTAATTGTATTTTTTTCTTCAGAAAGTAAGAACCTATGTAAGAACCTAAATAGGCTCAATTTTTGCTAACTACCATTTATATAAGAACCTGTTTAGGGTAACTTGGAAACATCCAGGTTCTTAGTCGCGGGGTTTTACTGTATGTCTTGATGGGTCTGTCTTCCAAGCATATGTCGCAAACAAGGAAAATGATAAAAACTGTCAGGCTAACAATTCAAAAAACACAATTGCAATTCGTTTTAATCTTCTTCAAGTTTGTCCATCCGTGCCTCCTTTTGTATTTGCTGTGTTATTTATATCCCTAGTGAGGTCAAGATGGCTGGATATTGGCCAATTTCGTTTCTTTTCATTCCTTTCAAAACAAGCCCCAAAGACTAATTATCAGCCGTAGCAAGAGAAACAAGTAATTCAAAAACAGCATGCAAAGAAGGAAGCCACAGGCTGAGGGAACATTCGAGAAGGGTCATAAACGTGATCAACTCCCTTGATATTGTGAAATTTTAAACAAAGGATGGTACGTGCACCGACCGGTTTACCCATGTAAATGGAAAACAACCAGATTTGATACCGGAAGCAAAAGTAAAGCAAAATCTGCGTAAACCTAATAATTACTCCACATATATGCCTCTCCTGCAGGGAAGTAAACTTTCACTTTTGAACGAAGTTTGCACCCAGAAAAAATAAGTAGCAACTTAAGCATTCTAAAGTTACAACAAATTTGCTCAACTGGCCGCGAACGTAGGTAAAACTGTTTGGTTTATGCATTGTTTTAAACTTAATAGATTGCAAAGGTTTTACTCGTAATACTAAAAGAAAGTTTACAGAATTTCTTTAAGATAACGGGTTTTACGCTCCATATTAAGACGGATGAACTATTAATTCAGTGAAAGGATTTTTTTCGCCCCTTTAAGGGAATCCGGAATCCAGAGTCCTAGGAACTTTCGCTTATGGAATCCTAGCCCGTTCCAGGCTCCAAGATAGTGGTGAAAGAGGCGTAAAAAGAAATGCGAAAACGCGCGGGAGCTGGGGAGAGACATTTTTCCCGCTGCCACCGCCCCTTTCCCAAGTCACGCGCGTCTTATTTTGGCTCTGCTCGTTTTAATACGTCCCCACCATACTATCTGAGAGCCTGGCACAGGCTAACGGAATCCAGGATCCTGGGCTTTGGAATTCGGAATCCCACTAACGATTGGAATCCGGAATCCAGTACCTGGCTAGAATCCAGAATTCAAGACTGTCCTTGAATCACCCCTTACATTGGGCGATATTTTGCCAAAACGAAAAGACTTTGCAAAAAATGATTTGCACACGCCATAGCGCGTAGATGACAAAACTCATCTCATTCCACTATCTGTTATCAAATTCCAAAGCTTTCCTCTTTAGTTTACGTTATAAAACACATGGTCAAAATAATAAATAATTAATAAATAAATAAATAAAATAAATAAATAACGATTTGCAGGTAGCACATCCACATAGTGGTTCTTCGTCTACCTGATTCCTGGTCGAATTGGAATTTGGAAATGTTGGTTTTTGAGGAGAGGGAAAAACCGGAGTAGCCGGAGAAAAACCTCTCAGAGCAAGGGAGAGAACCAGCAACAAACTCAACCCACATATGGTGTGGACGTAGGGATTTGAACCCAGGCCACATTGGTGGGAGGCGAATGCTCTCACCACTGCGCCACACTTGCTACCGCCGTGTGGCACGGTTCAACGTGTACTATTTAGTTATCGATGCAAGTATAGGGAGGATTGCTAGGCGCTCAAGAACTCGATGTATTAAGCTATGTGTACACTATACCGTATAACTTTTTGTGTCGACACGAAACGCTGTCCGATACAGTAAAAAAACAACAACAACAACAACGACGGCTCGGGACTGGAACAAATCGTTCACACACAGGGAACATCGGACCGCTGCGGTTGGCCAAGAGGGTTTTGTGAACTTAACATTCCAGTCCTTAGTTCTGAATATTTCCTTCCGTGTCAGTTGGTTCCGGTCCTCGCCCCTACTTATTCACGTTCCCGGTCCACTATACTACAGTCCGACCACCTGTTCACACTACACCAAAGTGTGGCACAGAACCTATCCGATATGTGACGCTCCACTTTCTAGACCGGCGCTGCGCAGCTTCGCTCCGTTACAGAAATTGCGCCGAAATCATTGTCCTTATGTTTGAACGAAAGCACTGTTTTCGATCCGGTATGGCGTGACAATAGCCCTAGTTGTTACCTTCATCAGCGTGCACAATGGGAATATGGAGAACGCTAGTACCGCTCGCGCTATTGAATTTGATCATAGTCTCTCCAACCGAGTGTCCGTTGAGAGACTATGATTTGATCCACGCATAAGCGAATGTTCTAGCTATGTTATAATAATAATAATAATGAATAGCTAGTGTTAGATTTCTTCCCATTTTTTATTTTCCCGTTCCCCGTGCCTCGTTCTGCGTTTAGTAACATCGTAGGAGGAGGAAGTAAAAGAAAAAGGAAAAGGGAAAACGAGGAGGGCGAGAAGAATAAGAGGAAATTTTTGTTTAGCTAGTCTACCTTTATGTCGGCTGGCCAATGTTCAGTTCTTTCACTGTCTTTTCTCTTGTGTTTAGTTTCTTGCAGTGTCGGTAAAGCTACTCCGGAGCAAACTGACCAACGTATTATGTTTTACGTGTTCGGATCAGATAACATCTACATCATAGATCCAAAGAGCAAAGAAATTTCGTCTACAATCGGTCCTGATGGTGTTTGTACCAAATCAAACAACAGGTATTCCAGGTGAGCGTTCTTAAACAACAGTGTTTGCCGAAATTTTCACATGCCTCGCCAAAAATATGGCTGATTACAATGTGAATTGTAACTCTGTTGTTGTTGTTTTTTTTTTATCAGGAATAAATGTTCCTTCGGTAAGAATACAGTGGTGAGAGACGAACTTATCTTCTTCAGCGACATGCCTGGGAATCGAGTTCACGTTATTGATGTACAGCAGCAGAAGGTATTAAATGGCTTCCCACACTAACTCGAAGTAGTTTTTGTTTCCCCTCAGATCATTTCTATATAGTTTTACCCTCGATAACTCGAACCATGTTTTGAGTCCTTAAAAATTCGGGAACAAAAAAACAGCCTACTTTGAATTTCCCATGTTGACGCGGACTGGTAGGCGTATAGTTTACTAGTGGAGGCTGATGTTGTTTTTTACAAATCTAACGTGAAACAGCTTTACTTCTCAAAACAGTAAAACGCATGCTCTATTTAGGCAACATTTTGTTAGGTTACGTTATGATTTATTATGTAGAAGTATCTTTCAATTTTCACTTCAATTCAAATTCAAAGTAGACAGACTGCAAATTATAGTAGTTGCGAAAAAATATATCTACGTGTCCCAACTGTTCATCAGTAGGATGCCTAAAATGCGTGCAATTCTACAATTGGTTTCGGCTCCATTAAATCCTATACCAATTGCAGAACATTTTAAGAGGAGCCACCCACCGTGTGAGCACAGTCGCGGACAACACATATAAGTGACGAAAATAACGCAAAGCAAAACTAAGAGGTTATTAAACGAACGAAATGTACACGCAACTTAACGTTTCTACAATTATAAACTGTGATTAAAATGTTCACTGTGCAGTAAAAACTGTTTTTTTTTTTCCTTACTCCCGGCTATTTTCTTCGAACTCCCGATAACTCGAACTTTTTTCGATTTCGCTTGAAGGTTCGAGTTATCGGGAGTCGACTGTAATTTGTTTATCCACGAACTTAGTAGTTCTTGACACTCGTTGAAAGGTGTCCGTGCGTTCCAGATCGAATTAGAATTCGGAGGTGTTGGTTGGTTATTGAGTACCCGGAGAAAAACCTCTTCTTAGCAACGGAGAGAACCAACAAAGCTGAGATAGAGGATGCCGGGTTCCTTACGTCCTCCCTACTCGCTCCCACTTTATTGAAACAAAAGCCTATTATACCTTACTAAAGGTTATTCACCGCGACGTTGTGGGAAAAAGATGTTGTCTTTTGGTTCCAAACTAAGCAATGTGAGCTGAAAAATTGGATAGAGGAAGCGAAGCGCTAGTGGTAGATTATTTTTGTTTCTGCGGCAAAAGCGAGCGAGAGAGCGAAAGCTGGGGCCAACTACCGGAACCGGAAATGAGAGGCGAAGGACTTAGAGGAAGTCTAGGTTCCATTGGTTCCATATAGCCTAACGGTATATCTTAGCACTTCATGAATTCATTGCCGTTTGCTGGCGTTATCAGTCACAAAATATACTCAGGAAGAAGAAATCCGTGAGTTAACCGTGCCTTTGTTGCAGTCCGTGTGGACATTCGCGTAACGATTGTGTGGACCACAACATTGACCGTGTTTACACAGGTTGCCATATAAGTGTGGACGAAGTCTGCATCTATTTATGGTAAAATACATATAAACCGAGTACTCTACTGAGCTCTTTCGAGAAAGTTTTTTGAAAAAGCGTAAAAGTGAACGCGACAATCCTGCAAGATAATCTGTCTAATCTGGGATACAATCAGTGAATTTAAAATAAGTCAAAAAATATAAATAAATAAATAAACCGCATCAAACTGGTGTTTGGCAGTCCTCACAGTGACGATGTTAGATTGCGTTGTCAAATTTTTAATAAATTTCAACTGGAAACATTTAAAAAGAACTTTCAAGATCAAGAAGTTCGTTGGCCCGCTTTGCACAAAAACTCCCCAGGATCGTTAAAAAACGTTGAGAAAAAACACGCCAGGACACTTAGCCTGGAGCAAGTTCTCCGGGGAGCTCTACTGGCCGCCAGATCGCCCCGGAGAACTTGCTCGCAGTCTAGGATACTGAACACACAACTGTAAAATGACCTTATAATTTAAACATTTACTCCAAAGGTCGTGGAAACAATCCCAACAGAGGGCTACCCGTATGATTTGTACTACCTACATTGGCTGAAGGAGGTCTGGGTACACACGTGGACCGACTCTACTTTTGACGTCATTAATACTGAAGGAAGCCTTCGTAAGACGCACAAAGCTATCAAGGCGCATGTACAACCAGGTCAGTACAGAGAACTGGCGTTATTTTTTGTGTAACCAATGAGAAACCCCATCTAAGCTTAATGTAGCGTACTATAAAATTTAACTCAGTTTTCTCGGTGGATTGCACCTGACGACTGCATCGAATTTAGCCTCCCAAAGCATGGCAACCGTTGTAAGTTCATCTCGTGAATTTTACGAAACTGAAATGGAATTTTGAACTCCGCCTTTACAAAACGCGGGCTTAGGGTAATGAGTTTCTTTTGTCCATTGAAGGTTGTGTATTTTAGTTCTCGAAACAGCCACAATTAGATCATTTACCTAAACACTGCGCATTAGAATCGAGAAATTAAAGAAAACGAATCCAAGACCCAAGACGCACGTTTTCCTGCGCGCGAAACTGGCAGCATTTTTCCTGTTAGCGGCTTGTTACCGGCTTTGTTATGTTAGCTTCAGTTTTTTAGCGTTTCCCCTTGAAATCCCTTAGTGCTTTTGTTTTACCTACGCTATCCACTGACAAAGCTTTTGTCGAACGGCATACGTTCTTAGGTTGGACACACGGGTACATGTTCGCTGACCCAGAGGTGAAAGACGGCAAAATGGGCTATGTCACTCACTTGTTCAACCCAGGCCTGCACCAAATCGACCTCATAGCCAAGGCATATAAGGCCTTTGTTAACGTTTCTGACTACAACTGCACCGGAACTTTAAACTTCGTTTACAGCCCCGTGAACAAACACGCCTTCTTTGATTGCTATAGAGCCTCAAAGAAGGTTGCTCTGTTGGAGATGGACCTCACCACTGATACAATTGTTCAGAAGTGGAGCATTGCTGGGGAACCGTATGTTTCACCCGATGGCCGCTACGTCGTCGCACTTTACAAATCCGTCAACGAGTCGGCCAACCTTCTCATTGCTAGTAAAGTTTATGTTCTGGTTATTCCTGGCAAGGACAGTGCTGCCATTTTGAATTCCACATTAGATATCGCTGGTGGCGTGAGCGACCTTGTTTATTATGAGAAGGTCGAAAAGAAGGGAAGTTTTATTGCTTACATCAGCCTTATTTACAGCGACAAGATAGCTGTGTTAGATCTCGACTCTCTCGACTCTGGAAACCGCCAAATCAGCTACATTGTGAACGTTGGAAGCGTATATTCGGCACCAGGTATGCACTCAGTGAGTCGACCGTTGGTAGCATCGGGTCCCTGGCTTGTGACTCCTGCCACTGCTAACCAATCCCTTGCCATCATCAACATCGCCTCGCAAGAGCTGTATGGGATGGTAAAGGGTGTGGTCGGGGCTAGAGGGATGGTAGCAGCGTACTCACCCATAGGAGCTGGAAGAAGCTCTTGTGGTTCAAAGGAGATTGTGATGTTCACCTTGCTGGATTGTCTGTACATATTGATGGCCAGCTTCTGAGGCTATGTTTACACCTCGGTGGGAAAGTGTTTTAGAAACACTTGCGCCAAATTAATTCACACCACCACTAGTTAGTCTCGCTTGCGTAAGCAGCGAGACTTATAATCTGCAACGCGTTTTTCGCCCGGGGGGAGGGATGTAGTCCCTTATATAGGGAATATGGGTATGTGCGGCGCCAAAGGGGATGTTTTTTACAGCCTTTTTGGTCTGAAATAGGGTATCAGTTTCGACCATTTTGGTCTGAAAAAGGGTATGGCTTGTGCACTCTAGTCTTGAACGAGGTATGTCGTTTTAGAAGAATTAGCTACTTCTTCATCATTTGGCAATAAGACCATTTCCCTGGTTTACGCCAACTACTGTGTACGTGCCGTAACAGCTTGTCACGCGCTCCGGTCACGCGCCGGGCTCCAGGGCTTCAGGTCTGAAATAGGGTATCAAATTTTCGATCAGGTCTGAAATAGGGTAGGAAAAATCACAGATTTTGGTCTGAGATAGCGTGAGGGTTTCAGAAAGCGTGCCGCACATCCCCACCCAATTAATCTGGAAGTATTCCCCCGGGCATTGTTGTCGTTTTTGGGTCAAAAATCGAAGGTCATTGTGCCAGGCGTTACTTGCAGACACCGTGGAAACTGGGACCAACAATCGTTGCGTGATGGAAGCTACGCATGCTTAGGAAAGATTAAAGTTAGAGCTTTTCCAAAACGTGTCGGTCCGCGAATTCTATCGCTAGAAAGCGTTGATTACGTTGGAGCAAGTGAACACTACTGAGTGGTCGAAAAAAAGAATAAGAATCTGAATTAGCAAAAATTGCGATGGTCGGGAGTTGTAAACTTTCACTGTATGCAAAAGAGTCTCGGGATGAGCAAGCGATTTATTTGTGGCGATGATTGAAAAGACATGCCATGTAAATCACTTTTTCGATATCTGGCAATGATGATATTTCTCTGGAATCGAGGCCCTTGAATTTTCGTGTATTTATACACGCGTATAGCCTGCTACCGCAGGGGTATTTTTAGTCGTCGCTAACACGCGTCCTAAATCAATTCAGTTCTTGCAGAATTAATGGCCTCCTCATTTCTCGATCTAATTTCCAAGCAGGCGAAACCTGAATGCCGCTCTAAGCGCGTTCTTGTTTGTCCTCAAAATCTTATAGGGCTTGATCGAAAAAAAAATAAGAATCTGAATTAGCAAAATTGCGATGGTCGAGAGTTGTAAACTTTCACTGTTTGCAAATTAGGAGTCTTGGGATGAAAAAATCTTTGGGTCAAAAATCGGAGGTCATTGTGCCAGGCGTTACTTGCAGACACCGTGGAAACTGGGACTAAGAATCGTTGCGTGATGTAAGCCACGCATGCTTAGGAAAGATTAAAGTTAGAGCTTTTCCGAAACGTGTCGGTCCGCGAATTCTATCGCTAGAAAGCGTTGATTACGTTGGAGCAAGTGAACACTACTGAGTGGTCGAAAAAAAAAAATAAGAATCTGAATTAGCAAAAATTGCGATGGTCGGGAGTTGTAAACTTTCACTGTATGCAAAAGAGTCTCGGGATGAGCAAGCGATTTATTTGTGGCGATGATTGAAAAGACATGCCATGTAAATCACTTTTTCGATATCTGGCAATGATGATATTTCTCTGGAATCGAGGCCCTTGAATTTTCGTGTATTTTATACACGCGTATAGCCTGCTATCGCAGGGGTATTTTTAGTCGTCGCTAACACGCGTACTAAATCAATTCAGAAACAAATAAAAGGTATCAACGTCGATAAAGTAGGAAGTAAAAAACCTTTAGAGAGTAAATCATGTTTCTTGCAGTATTAATGGCCTCCTCATTTCTCGATCCAATCTCCAAGCAGGCTAGACTGGCATGCCGCTGTAAGCGCGTTCTTATTTGTCCTCAAAATCTTATGGGGCTTGTTCGAAAAAAAAAAATGAGAATCTGAATTAGCAAAATTGCGATGGTCGGGAGTTGTAAACTTTCACTGTATGCAAAGGTGTCTTGGGATGAACAAGCGATTTATTTTTGGCGATGATTGAAAAGACGTGCCATGTACATCACTTTTTCGTTATCTGGCAATGATGATATTTCTCAGGAATCGAGGTCCTTGAATTTTCGTGTATTTATACACGCGTATAGCCTGCTACCAAGGTGGTATTTTTAGTCGTTGCTAACACGCGTACTAAATCAATTCAGAAACAAACAGTATCGACGTCGATAAAGTACGAAGTAAAAAACCTTTAGCGAGTAAATCATGTTTCTTGTAGAATTAATGGCCTCCTCATTTCTCGATTCAATCTCCAAGTAGGCGAGACTTGATGCCGCTGTAAGCGCGTTCTTGTTTGTCCTCAAAATCTTATACGGCTTGTTCGGGATGCATTAACCATCAATATTTAATGTCATTTTTCTTTTTCTTAAGGGGATGCACATATTCCCACCAAAATGCGTGCATTTAATGCACGGTTATAAATTTTAAGTAGCTGTCTTTACTGTTAATAAAGAGAACTGAGTAATAAATTTTGGTCTCATCGGAGTCAATGTAGTAAGTAGAACATCGACAGGGTAAGATGGCCTCGTGGCAATTACAACTGGGGAGGAGGAGGAGATGTAGGGGGAGAAGAATGGCCAAATAACGCGGGATGAAATGTGTGCAATCAGTGATAACTTTCCACAGGATTATTAGAGGACTCAAGATAGAGGACTATAGCTCAGTTTGACTGGACAATCAATCAATGTCTTAGAAGCAAAACATAAATTACTAGAAAAGTAACTGTTTAGAGTAGTAAGCCTTTTGTGTTTATCGACGTATGATGGGTTTAGTTTGTAAAGAAACTGTGATGTTTATTAAAGGCTTTGTAAACTGAGATGAAAAGTGTATTGGTCACCGTAGTGGAAAGATTGAGAAACTATCGACGTGTTGCCCTCAGTTGCTTGCCTTTTTAATCCACATCAGGTGCCGTTTCCAGCCAAACACCGCGAAGTACAAAACACAACACAATTAGATACTTTTGACGCCAAATGTATTTATTTCAGTTTACTCTATTTGAACATTTCTAGCCGATTTATTTTTAAACGTGCGGAAAATTCTCAGAAAGTGAACCTCTTCACTGAGTGACGCCGGGTTTTAGTTGTGTAGGATGGTTTCGTACATGCTTTGCACTCCCATCACCACGTCCATAGCGCGTGTCTTCAAGGACAACTGTAGAAACAATATAAACACGAGTTGGAAACGATGATAAAGAGTTCAAAAATGAACTGGAACTAAATATCAGTCAAGGCTCACGTGAGGAACCGTTCCGAATTCCCCTGCATTAACCTCGTCTTCACGATACCTCCAGTTCACAACAGGCTATAAACAATGAAACCACTATTCATTAAATCGACCGTTTTTCTGCGCTTTACACCGTCTACACATATTTGACTCGTGTTCTGATTGGTTTACTTGACTGTTTTCATCCACTGTGATTGGTTTTAGTAGTTATTAACTTACGACACTCAATTAAAAACCATTCCAAAACATGCGTCATTACAGAAACCCGGGGTCAATTTAGTAATACTCTTACAAGTGTAGCTATTGTTTTCAGACCCTAAAATAATAGTTACTATTGTAAATTACACTTGTTGTAAATTACACTTGTAAAAGTTTTATAAAATTGACTCCGGAATGCTGTTTCACACTGAATAATGACTCGTGTTCAGCTGTGGGGCATTTAGCATCAAAGCCGGAATGCATGCTTTATTATCGAGTATCCCCACGGCGTACCTGGGGATAGTCGATAATAAAGCAAGCGATCTTTGATTCTAATGTTTTAAATAAGCGCCGGATTCGGTTACAGGGAATTTAGGACACCAGAGGCTCAATCCGAATGAGAAACGATAAAATGGTCCCTCAAAAAAGGCTTTTTTAAAGCCAGTTGGATTGATTACAGTAGCCTTTCAGGGCTATAGTTGTGAAAGTGAATTGACCAGAGCCGGGTCACTTGCTTGTACCACAGGATTACCAGGCTGCATCTTGAGCTCAGCTAGAACCCATATTGCATTGGTAAGTTTCAATGACTGATACAACATGTCTTGGGAAAAGAGAGAAATCCATGAGAAAATAAATGCCCTTGGTTAACGTATCCACAGGTACAACCTCCTAACGCAGCGCCATCGGAATCTCCCAGAAATCAACAGTTGAGCTGGGATAATAAACGTGATGTCATTAAATGGAAGCTCTACTTTATAAAGGCGATTATCCCATCAGTTCTTTGTCCACTAAAATCACTTTGCGTGACGAGACAAAAACGGCTGCAGGGGAGACTATTTTTTAAAATAAGTGAACCAGAGGGAACCTCCGTTCACATTCTGGTACATCTGCTGAACCACGAAGATTGTTAGGGATCTTCAAAGATCGTCAGATTCAGTGATGTGGTTGTGTGCTGACAAGTCAGTGAGCATTCTCTTTGACAACCCCTTACCCTTTTACATACCATTTTTGACAGAAAAGGTCCCTCTTTCGTACACCTTCTATTGCATGACAAATGGTACCCCTTTCACCTACCTAATTTAGAACTCTGCATCCCTTTTAACAGCTGTAAATGCACTGTCTTTTAGATATGAATAAAGCACAAAGCCAGAACGTTTTCTCGAATTTTCCACAGCCATGAAATACATCCGTTAGCCCTTTTGTGCCTTTTTACTGACTGAAATGAGACATTTCCCCAGTCTTTTATATACACTTCAACTTGTAATTCATGTACCTGTGGCCTGAAAAAGGTACCCCTTTCGGGCGTAGCCTTCCCATATAGCATTATAGGAAGTACCCCCTCAGTGGTGACGCCCGCACGATTTACGGGTGAGCCGTGGACACCAAAGCCCGTCCTTTTTTCCGTAAAATTTTGTAGTATTTTTGAAGAATAGTGAGCTTGTCCGTCCTAAATATGAAATCGGAAAACCGCAAGTCACTTTTAATCATCTATCTTGTTATTATGTCACCAGGCCAAAAGAAACAATCGGCTCTGGGGACGAGAATGGTTGCTATTTTTACATTGGAAGGTGGAGGCCTGGGCACAAAATATATACTGTCATTTCCTCTTTCACTTGACCCCGAACTCGGTAACAACTGATCGCGTCGCGCACCCAGTTTCATACGAGGAAGCAAAGTTTACCGCAGATTTAACTGAAGAAATCCCCTAGCAATGCATTGTTTTCCAGTTTGGCTCCTAACCCTCACAGTCATTTTGTCTGGTAAGTTATTAACGATGAGCAGATATATGTATTTGGCTGCATTTTTTTCCAGTTTAGCCAAGAATTGAACGTTTAATTTAGGGGTGTGTTGGGGATACCTAGGTTTGCAATAGGATAGTGTCTCTCTAAGGAATATAATTTTGGTGATTTTCCTTGACTATACGTTTCCCAATCGCTAATATTACCCACGGTTAGCTATTGCATGACCCAAGTGACAGTACTGACGCGGATATTACTGAGAACGATGAAGAGTTTCCAAATCCAAGCATTTATATTTTCAAATATTACAGATCTAGTTTAGATCACGCAAACCGAACTTTTAAACCAGCTTGCGCGATGTTTTTTTAGACTGCATGCGTGAAGGACAGCCATTCATGTTATTATCTTTTATTTTCCTGTATTGCTTGTCTTTTTAACAAGCTCTTTCCCTAGCTAGAATTATTTTGTCACGTTTATATTCATCCGATAAAATTATCCTCTTTGGGTATCCTGTATCCTGATTTGTCTACAGTTGACTCCACTCGGAAAATTAGGGACTTTTCAGTGATATTAACCAGCTTACTGTGAGACATTTCATCGATCATCAGGAAATGGATGTTATAACCAAGAGTGATCATGGAATGCAAACTTTACGTCGTAGAAAGTCTGGAGCCAGATGCATATGATAATAATTTCATTATAAACAATAGAACAAAAAGATTTTGCGTCGTCAACCAATTGTGAGCTTATGCCGAGACGGTGGTGATGGCGCGCGAGAAACAAAAGCTGAGACGTGCCTGTCAACTAAGCTGCTTCGTAAGCAACCACTTCCTAATGATATTGCATTTTCGTCCTTTTTTACTCCATGAAAGTCAAATCAGTTAAATTTAAAGGACTTTTAAGCAATCGCCTCCGGTACTTCACCGAGGCAATAGGAAAAAACAAATTGCATTACGGGTAACGTGAAAATCCCAAATTATGGACAGACGTTGCCTAGACCCTGAAAAGCACTAGATAACATGAATCCCTAGGCCTAATAATTCCGAACGGCCTATTCGTTTTGAGTCACATGATCGTAACGAGTTTGTTTCGGCTAGAATTGACCGAGAAGGCCTGGGAAGACACCGAGCAGGGACCAGGCGATAGGGAGCTTCTAAGCAACCACGACGGCAACGGCAGCGAAAACGTCACTTAAAGCCTGTTTTCATGGAGGTGGGAGACCCAAGATAGGTGAGGTAACATGTGGCGGGTCACCCCATCTATCATGTAAACGGTAATCAAATTAAAATGAGAGATTATATGGACAGGCGGCTTACCCCACCAAAGCGGGTTACCTCACCTAGCTGGGGTCCCCCACCCCCATGTAAACAGGCCCTTAGAAAGCGAGTTCGCGCTGTTTCAAACTTTATTACTCTTGGTCCATTTCATACAAGTTTTTTAATGCTGGGAAATTCTTCTGGAGTTGATTCTAAAGAACTGTATCTAAGTTCAGAAAAAGAAAGAGAAAATTGCTGTCTTGCGTCAACGTCCTCCATCATAAAACTTGAAACTGAGGAAGTTTCACGTCGTAGTCGTGCAACGATCGACGGCAGAAAGAAAGTACTAAAAAGCGTGATACACATGCAGGCTTGTTGTTTTGCCTATCTAAACCTATTGCGTTTTCGCCGTTCTCTTTGCCGTCGCCATCACCGTCACCGTTGCTTAAGTTTCTTATTGGCAATGGTGACCAATCCGAAGCACTACCCTGACCCGGATAGTGACACGTCACAAGTATGGAATTTCTGCGCCCGTTCCTCAGACATCATTTTGCCGGAAATGTAGTCGTGGTGTCGCGAAATTCTTGGTTTGCAACCACGTGACAAGGCGGCCATGTTGAGGGTCAATACAATAGACTTTTTTCTCAAAGAATTTCCAAAAAATAGTTCCCAGAGGAGAGAAATGCTTTTGTTCTTGACCACAAACATGGCCGTCGTGACGTCACAGGCAAACCAGCAATATCGGTTGTTTTCTCAGGCTACTGTACAGAGCTTTCTTGCCAGGCTAGCACTCAAGACGTTACCTGAAACTGGGGAACGGGGAACGAGAACAGGGAACAGGAAAAATGAAAAATGGGATATGGTTAGGTTTTCTCCGAGTTCCCGTTCTTCCGTGATCGTTCCCAGTTCCCCTTCCTCTCTTCTCCAGTTTTGGCAACATCGTGGGACGAAGAAGTAGGAGAAAGGAGAAAAGGAGAAAAAAAAAGGGGAGGGCCAGGAGAATAAGCAGAATTGTTTTATCTAGCGAAGCTATCGTTTGGCTTTTTTAATGTCTTTGATTTTCGGTTTAGTTTTTTGTAGGGTTGGTAAAGCTACTCCGAAGCAAAATGATCAACGTGTTGTCTTTTACGTGTTTGGATCAGAGGACATCTACATCGTAGATCCAAAGAGCAAAGCTATTTTGTCTACAATCGGTCCTGATGGGGTTTGTACCAAATCAAATAACAGGTATTCCAGGTGAGCATGCCTAAACAATAATGTCTGCCGAAATTTTTCACATTCCTTGCCTTGAGGTAAATATATATCTAGCATGAGACGCAGTGTTTCATCACCAGATTTTTCATCTGATTTCCAAACACTCATTAAACATTAATTTCCTTTGTATTTTCTTTTTGACTTATCAATGAGTTTGAGAATACAATAGAAATTGTGACATCTTCTGTATTTTACCAGGGATAACTGTTCGTTCGGTCGCAATACAGTGGTGAGAGACAAACTCATCTTCTTCAGCGACATGCCTGGGAATCGAGTTCACGTTATTGATGCGCAGGAGCAAAAGGTAAATAGCTTCCTCCAATTTGTAACTCTGTACTAAGGTCGACAAAGCAGATGATGAGTTCATTAACAAATAATTCTCCGTTCATGTTTTCCGTCTTAAGTGGGAAACCGGAAGGCCCCAAATTAGCCTAACGGTTATATTCTCGCACCTCATGACTTCGTTGCTGTTTGCTGGCGTCATCAGTTACAACACATACTCGGGAAAAATAGAAATCTGTTAGCAACCTCATCCCCAGGTTATTTCGGGCAGCCAGCGCCCCTATCATTAGGGGCACCCAACGAGAATGTAGTTCAAAACCACGTAAACGTGGCATTTTTGAACGTATTGTAGTATTTAAACGGTACCTAAAGGCATATTTTTATCCCCTAAAAATTTTTCATCTGTTCGGATTTCCTAGCTGAGAGTCTAGTGATCCGAAAATTATAGGGATCAGACCTTACCTTTTCGAAAATTTCAGCCAGAAACAAGGCTTCCGAAAATTCTAGGTAACCTTTTTAGGGTAAAAATCCGTTGAAAATGGGCAATTATACCATTTTTTAGATGTTCGAAAATCCTAGGAGAGGCAGGCAAGCAACAAATCTTACAAAAAATGATCCGAAAATTCTAGATCTCAAATCGTCTTCCGAACAGATAATTTTCCGAAAATTGTCGTTGGGTGCCCCTGTATCATCGTCTGTACTATTGTTATAAATTTCTATTTCTTGTATATTATGGGGTGAAATAAAGTGTTGTTGTTGTTGTTGTTCTCATTTTCTAATATGTCGGCGGCCATATCGAAAAACGAGTCGAGAATACCCTGGGGACGAGGTTGATCTGGGAGTTAACCATGCCTTTTGTTGACACCATGTAAACAGTCGCGTAACGATTGGTAAACGAGCACCCGAACTAGTGTGGACCACAACATTGAACGCGTTTACACGGGTTACCAAATAAGTGTGGACGTGGTCTGAAGCTATGCATGTAAAATAGACGTAAACCGATTATACAGCTGTTTCGAGAAAGTTTAGTTGAAAAAAGCGTAGAAGTGAACGGGACAATCCAGCCTCAAGATAATCTTGGACCAGTGAATTTAATTAAGTCAAATAAATGAATGAATATCAGACTCGCTTTTGGCAGTCCGCATAGCGACGATCTTAGATCGTGGGCCATATGGATGACGAAGGTTTTGGGTTGTCATACTGTAAATACCATTTCGATTCGAAAGTTTGAAAACTGTGCAAGATCGAGAAGTGTATTGGTCCGCTTTGTCTAAAAACTCCCAAGGATCGTTAAACAAAACGATGAGAGAAAACAAGCCAGGACACTGTGTATACAACTGTAAAATGGCCAATTAATATCAACATTTTGCCTCCAAAGGTCGTGGAAACAATCCTAACAGAGGGCTACCCGTATGATTTGTACTACCTACATTGGCTGAAGGAGGTCTGGGTACATTCCTGGACCAACTCTACTTTTGACGTCATCAACACCGATGGAAGCCTGAAAAAGACGCACAAGGCTATCAAGGCGCATGTGCAACCAGGTCAGTACAGAGTGTTAAAGAGTGTTGGTTGAGTGTTGGCGTCATTTTTTTGGTGTGTAACCAATGAAGAACGAAATCTGAGCTTATCTTAACGTATCATAAATTTCAACTTTTTCTCGGCGGATTGCACCTTAAGATTGAAAGAGTTTAGCCTCACCGCGCAAGGCAACAGTTGTAAGTTCATCCTGCGAGTTTTACAGCTTTGGAATGGACTTTTTAACTCCGCCTTTACAGAACGCGGGTGTAGGTTAAATTTCTTCTGTCCATTAAGGGTAGTCTTGCTTTGTTGTCGAAAAAAAAACCAATTAGATCATTTATCTAAAGATTACACATTAGAATGGAGAAACTAAAGAAAGCGATGCATGATCATGCATGTTTTCCTGCTCGCGAAACCGGCAGCATGTTTTCTGTTAGTGGCCTGAGACCGGCTACAGATGTGTTTTGTTAGCTTCAGTTTGTTAGGATTTCGTAGAAATCCCTCCTTAATTTTGTTTTACCCATGTTGTACACTGACAAAGCTCTTGTCGAACTGTATACGTTCTTAGGTTGGACACACGGGTACATGTTCGCTGACCCAGAGGTGAAAGACGGTAAAACTGGTTACATCACTCACTTGTTCAACCCAGGCCTGCACCAAATTGACCTCATAGCCAAGGCATACAAGACCTTTGTTAACGTTTCTGACTACGACTGCACCGGAACTCTGAACTTCGTTTACAGCCCTGTGAACAAACACGCCTTCTTTGATTGCTATAGATCGAGTACGAAGGTTGCATTGTTGGAGATGAACCTCAGCAATGACACAATTGTCCGTAAGTGGAACATCGCTGGGGTCCCATATGCTTCACCCGATGGCCGCTACATCGTTGCACTCTACAAATCTGTCAACGAGTCGACGAACCTGCTCCTTGCTAGTAAAGTTTATGTGCTGGTTATTCCTGGCAAGGACAGTGCTACCATTTTGAAGTCCACATTAGATATCGATGGTGGCGTAAGCGACCTTGTTTATTATGAGAAGGTCGAAAAGAAGGGAAGTTTTATTGCTTACATCAGTCTTATTTACAGCGACAAGATAGCAGTGTTAGATCTCGACTCTCTCGACTCTAGTAACCACCAAATCAGCTACGTCGAAAACGTTGGAAACGTCCATTCAGCACCCGGTATGCACTCCGTAAGTCGACCGTTGGTAGCATCGGGTCCCTGGCTTGTGACTCCAGCCACTGCTGACCAATCCCTTGCCATCATCAACATCGCCACGCAAGAGCTGTATGGGATGATAAAGGGTGTGGTTAAGGGTAAGGGGATGGTAGCATATAGGGAGATAGCAGCATACTCAACGACGCCATATCCCAAAGGAGCTGGGAGAAGCTTTTGTGGTTCAAAGGCGATTGTGATGTTCACCTTGCTGTATACTCTGTACATGTTGATGGCCGGCTAGAAGAAAGGAAATTCTAAGGCTATATTTACACCTCGTTAGGAAAAGTCCTTTAGAAACACTTTCGCCAAAATCAATTTACACCACCACTAGTTTGTCCTCCAAATCTTATAGGGCGTGTTCGGGATGCAATAACCCGCATCAATAGTTAATGTGATTTTTCTTTTTTTATTAACGAGAAGGGCATACACAGATTCCCACCAAAATGCGTGCATTTAATGCACGGTTATATATTTTAAGTAGCTGTCTCTACTGTTAATAAAGAGAACTGGGTAATGAATTTTGGTCTCATCGGAGTCAGTATAGTAGAAAAATAGGGTAAGAAGGCCGTGTAGTACTTACAACTGGGGAAAAGGTGGAGATGAAGTTAGGAGAAGTATGGACAAATAACGTATAAAATGTAGGCAATCATAACTTTCTGCAGGATAGTTAGAGGTCTCAAGATCAGAAGTGGAGGACCATAGCTCAGTTTGACTGGACAATCAATCAATGTCATAGAAGCAAATCATAAATTAGAAGACAAGTAACTGTTTTGAGTAGTAAGTGTCTTTATCGACGTCTGATGGGTTTAGTTTGTAAAGAAATTGTGGTGTTAATTAACGACTTTGTAAACTGAGGTGAATAGTGTATTGGTTACCGTAGTGCAAAGATTGGGAAACTATCGACGTGTTGCCCTCAGATCCTTGCCTTTTTAATGCACACCAGGTGGCGTTTCCCGCCAATCACCGCGAAGTATAAAACACAACACAGTTAGAAACTTTTGACGCCAAATGTATTTATTTCAGTTTACTCTATTTGAACATTTCTAGCCGATTTATTCTTAAGCGTGCGGGAAATTCTCAGCAAATGAACCTCTTTACTGGGTGCCGCTGGGTTTTAGTTGTGTAGAATGGTTTCGTACATGCTTTGCACTCCCATAACCACGTCCATAGCGCGCGTCTTCAAGGACAACTGTAGAAACAACAAACACGAGTTAGAAACGACGATAAAGAATTCAAAAATGAACTGGAACTAAATTGCAGTCAAGGCTCACGTGAGGAACCGTTCCGAATCCCCCCGCATTAACCTCGTCTGAACGATACCTCCAGTTCACAGCAGGTTATATACAATGACACCACTCTTCATTAAATCGAACGTTTTTTCTACGCTTTACACCGTCTACACATATTTGACTCGTATTCTAATTGGTTGGTTTACTTGACTGTTTGTATCCACCGTGATTAGTTTTAGTAGTTGCTAACTTACGACACTCAATTAAAAACCATTCCAAACCACGCGTCATCACAGAAACCCGGGATCAATTAAGGGCCTGTTTACATGAAAGTGGGGGACCCCAGGTAGGCGAGGTGACCCGCTTTGGTGGGGTAACCCGCCCGTCCATATAATCTCTCATTTTAATTTGACCACGTTTACATGATAGGTGGGGTGACCCGTCGCATGTTACCTCACCTATCTGGGGTCCCCCACCTCCATGTAAACAAGCCCTTAATAAAACTCTTACAAGTGTAATTAACAAGTGTAGCTATTGTTTTCAGACCCTAAAACAATAGCTACTCTTGTAAATAAAAGTTTTATTAAGCTGACCCAGTATGTTCTTTCACACTGAACAAACGACTCGTTTTCAGCTGTGGGGCATTTAACAGGGTACACCCTGGGGATACTCGATAATAAAGCAAGCGTTCTTTGATTCACATGTTTTAAATAAGCGCCGGATTCAGCTACAGGGAATTTAGGACATGAGACGTTAAATAAGGCTTAGAAAGGATAAAATGGTCCCTCAAAAAAGACTTTTTAACGGCCAGTTGGACTGATTAAAGTAGCCTTTGAGGGCTACAGTTTGTACAGTTTCTAACAACAGGAAAGTGAAATGACCAGCGCCGGGTTACTTACCTGTACCACAGGATTACCAGGCTGCATCTTAAGCTCTGCTAGAACCCATATTCCATTGGTAAATTTCAATGATTGATACAACATGTCCTGGGAAAAGAAAAAATCCATGAGAACATAAATGCCTTAGGTTAACACATCCACAGGTACAACCTCCTAACGCAGCGCCATCAGAATCTCCCAGAAATCAACAGTTGAGCTGGGATAATAAACATGATATCATTAAATGGAAGCTCTACTGCATAAAGACGATTATCGCATCAGTTCTTTGTCCACTAAAATCACCTAAAGTGAACTTAGAATTTTGACATTTTTTCAACCAAACTTCGGTCACTTTTCTAACAGTGGAAATTTCCCTTTAAGATAACATTTAAAGTAATAAGAAGAACAGTAATGACTGCAAACTGAACTCACCTGGCCTTCCACAGTGCGTTTAGCGATGGTGAAAACATTGTTGGCTGAAAGCTTTGACTGAGCCACGTCTACAGTAAAGTAAAAAGAACGAAAACAATGACACTTTTTTAATACTCGCTACTTTCAAAATTTCACTGGCCAATGAGAAGAAAAAGTTTTACCTGAGGAAAACATGATGTTAGAGACTTGATTTTGCACTTCATTTTCCGCAGGAATATCCTTCCAAGTTGCTAAAAAGACCTTGCGGTCTACAAGAAAAAGAAAGTTTGATTCAGCCACTATTTTCTTGCTGAAATGGAACTAAGAAAATTTAGAACGCGAGCGCTCAGAGCCACGCGCGGCCGCGGGCGAAAAGGTAAAATTATGTGAATTAATGGTAAAAGGAGAAGAGATTCAGCCCTCGTTCCTCGCGGCTTCACCCCTCGCCCCTCACGCGTGCTCTCGATCTACTATGACTCAAAAGAAACATAAGAGACTGCTCGCTTACCCATTTGTCCGTCTTCAGCAAACAGCACATTATAAGGAACAACACAACTGAAGTAGAACACGTCCACATTATTCTTAATAGCAACTTGAAGGTTGGTTAATGGGTCCATTCTCTGAACAGCTCCAGCTACAATGGATCAAAAAAAACAATGCTCGATTTGCCAAGTCAATATGTGCACTATTGTCTCGTTCTATTGGGTGAAGTTTATTGTGTTATTGTCTAAGGGGCAGGAATCGTTGTTGTGTTCTTCGTGACGTAACTCGAGACTTGCTATTCCCATGGTATATCGAGCACCAGCCCTTGTCATGATGTGGCTTCAAGGTCCTTCCTTGCTGGAAATTACAAATGAACAATCCTATACAGGACAAAAAGTTTTCTGTAATACCGCCCTCACGTTTGAACAGGGGGCGCTATGACCTCAAAATTAGTTGGGGTGTCATTCTTGAGTACCGCAACTTCCACTAAAACCCGGAGCTTTTTGGAAGGGAAGTACTTGCAATCAGAAACGCCGTCTTTAAAGCAATCACGTATCTTTTACCACAAATATCGTGCTTTTTTAAACCAACAGGTAGATACATTGGGAAAGACTGGCAGTTTGCAAACATCATCCCTGGATAGGTAACACCCACGAATAACCGCCACAATGAGAAGAAAAACAAAATAAACTACAAAGATGATATGTCTTGATATTTGAACAAATTCTCTCCAGTAGTACCATAAGAAATGTATGAAACTCAGTGTAGAGAAAATGAATGTTGATATTGGGGCTTTAAGGGTCAAGAGTTCTTTGTTACCACATACTCGTGTTGACAGGAAGCGAAGTTTCAGTTGAACTGTTGGCGAGTAAAGGAGTTGGAACGTTCAACGGTGAGGCTGGAGCAAGGCCAAAACTGGAAACGAAAAAACTGTAGTTACTACACATGGCAAAAAAATTTAATTCGGCAATATTGAAAACAAGTTCATAGTGAAAAGTAACGAGTGGCTAACTTTCTTTTTTCTAACACCTGACACTTAAGTAATCATAAATTCAAACCACAATACACAGAAGGAGATAGAGAACATGGCACTTTGAAGTGTGGTCAAGTCCATTTCTGATCGGCATAGCCTTTGAACGTGTAGGTCACGCTATCTCATCTCTTTTAAGCTTTGGTAACCAAAATTTTCAAAGCAAAGAAGAAGATGGGTAAAATAGCAAAAGAAAACGAAAGGCCTTTCTTGTTTTTGACGTAATTACACATTTTTTGCTTGTCTTTTCCTCTTTGCTTTTTATTTAATATTTGTTTTAAAAGTTGTAATCTTCTACCAGAAACCCATTTACGCTAGCTAGTAGACGATTTACGCTAGCTAGTAGTTTGAGATGGACTTGTAGTTAACCCGTGCTCTAGGCTTCAAAGTGCGAAGTGGATAAATTATATGTACACGTATTCCATGTACAACAACTAGTGAAACAGAACAGTATCCAAATCACCTGTTTTTGTTAAATTGAACTGCGAAATCTCCCATGGCCTGCATGGCTCTGTTGGAAAATTGCAGGTCCATGTAGATCTGTTCTTGGCGACGAGAAAACGTCCCTAGAAAATTAACAACAAAATGTCTTCATTAAACCCAAATACACATTTACATTAAAAGCAGGCTAAAGTGTCTGTAGCCATATTCTATGTTCCTAACCGCAATATAACCCCAAAATCCTATACACAGAGTGTCTTCCTTTTTGTCCACGACAGGGTTCGTACTCTTTTGAGTTCTTTAAATTCCATGACTTTCCATGACTTTTTGATGACCTTTTCTAGTTTTCCTTGACCTTAAGTTTAGCTGTTATTTTCGAAAATTGTTTTAGCATACTTTTTTTACCTTGAACAGTTCAACAGAAACAAAGTCTGGTATCCACCACTGAAAATGCATGACGTTCGCGCTGTTTAATTACTCCTCTTTATCTTACGTTAACCCTGCCTTGTCATCTGCAGTAACTACTCTACCAAACAAAACTTTAATTTTCAAGGACCGACAATTAAATTCCATGACTTTCCAAGCCTCTAAAACGAATTCTTAAATTCCATGACTTTCTAGGTTTTCAATGACCTGTACGAACTTTGCGCAAATGAATGAATACACTGTTCTGCGTCGAAACAACAATAGTCCTCACTTATAGAAACAAGAAGACGCCCGAAGGCGTTTACGAGGGATGTGTTGGTGTAAGAAAGAATTACCGTTATGTTGAATGGCAATGGAAAATTGAGTAGTGTATGGAACAAATGTGTGCAGGAGAGACGGAGATGTCCTTTTAAGAACTAATACACTAGAAGATGAGTTACACACAAGGGTTCCTTTGCTACTCAAAACAAAACTTACATCAATAATACCACCATATATGTTAGGAGTATGGATAGTTCACTAAAATTTGCATTCCTTTACTAAAATCCTCAAAAAAGGCACTTCCAAATTCAACAATAACATGTAATGTCAGGAGCCCATCAAATTTGATGGGCTCCTGGTAATGTATCATACTTCCAATAACTACAGGGTTGCAAGGTTGTGCTCTAGGGAAGATTTCGGAGAGCCCTTCGGGCTCCCCAAGCATTTTTAGCTGGGGTGCCCGGGCCTCCAAGTTGGTCGCCCAAATTAATAAATCAATGAGCTGTTAGTTAATTATTAAAAATTAAACAAATTATTTCCTTAACAAGTCAAGCAGAATTTTGTGAATATTTTTTTCATGAAAAATCACATCCCTTTGACCTCCGGAGCGTGCGAAAAAAAACCCCGCATGTTGTCATATGAAAGTAACTTTTCGTGCCATGAGAAACATGGGCAACGCCGCCGAATAGTTCATGTTTTTTAAATGGCAAAGTAAGATTCTGGTCTGTTTATGTATTTTTTATAAAAAAGAAAATTGGGGTAAAAAATAAGGGCACTATTCTTTTTACTAATCATTTTGATTTAGGTTGAAAAGAAAATTTGCTTATTAAGATTGATTGAGATCCCCTGGAGCTTTCCAGGAAAACTGTTATGATTTCAACGAAACCGCGGTCCCCCCCGGGGGGTTACGTCGGGTAATTTTTGCTTCGTATGTGCCGCTGGCCTCTCAGAGCCCCTAGACCCCATATTAGTCACTCTTGGGCAAATATGTAATTTTTGCGATCCCAACTTAGTCACTTTCTATTTATTTATCTACCTTATCAATCCTTTAAATAGGTCATCAAAAAATGAATTGACCCATTTTTTAATAAATTGAATGAAGAACACTTTACTTTTCACCTACAGGTACGTTTGCTAACCGTAAATATGAACAACTCTCATACCCCAAAAATCCGAAAATGTGCGGCCCCATTCTAGTAACTCTTTTGAAAATGCAACCCCATTATAGTCAATCCAGTCGTGAAAATGCGACCCCATCCACCGGCATATCTCCCCATTAGCCTCTTATAAGGAAGTGCCCCACCCCCCGGGCCGCCCCAAAACTATTATCTCTTTTGAATAGATCATCTTGTTGTAAAGTCGTCGTTTAAGCGCATAAACGGAAGTATTTTCTTTCTATATTATCGGTGAAATGTTCAGGACAAATGTGGATTCGGTTAGCTTTCGCGTATTTATTTTTAGTACGTGATACGTAATGCCGTGTCACGACACGAAAGACAACGCGGGATTTTATAGATTTATACCCCCTTTATACCCGATTCTAGAACAATCACAATAATAGTCGTCTCTTTTCTTTTTTATACATCGTATTTTACTGGAATAACAATCTTAGTTATGTTTTAGCCTCGCAGACACAGCAGTAAAAAAAGGTAAAAATAAAAGACCGACTCCCGTGTTTATTCAGCGATTTTTCAAAATACAAAACTACTGTTTTGCGTCGCCGACCGTACTTTACGCCTGTCAGAGCAAAAGTAACAATTTGTTTAGAAAAACTAACTAATGAACCATCCTAATTTGAAGGAAAAATTTCAATGTTATTATGAAAAGCTGTTACTATCGAAAACTGTGCAGCTTGTCACGTTCATAGTCAAGGATTATGTTACATGTGAATTCACGTGAAACGACCTTTGAACATCAATACAACGCGTGCCCGCTGCCCGATTTAACAACATTTTCTTAAAGCTTTTTGATAGACATGCTACTTATTGCTACTTACAAGTCGACTTCAAGAGTTTCGTAGCGAGCTGAGCGTTCTTTTTAAGCCGTGAAGCCACCGAGCGAGCTACGATTTCGCAAGTAATAAATTCTAGACATTCTTAGCTGTTTGACTGTAAATCAACAGAAACAAGAAACCAACACCAGCAAGTCGCCCGGCTGGGCCACCTAGACAATATTTTCAGTCGCCCCAGGCCAAGTCTTGCCGTGCGCCGTTAGATCTAGTGCACAGCTAGCCTCCCCGCAGACGTCCTTTGGGGTTCGTTGAGAAATGAATGCGTGACAAAAGAACCCCAAAGGACGTCTGCGGGGAGGCTAGTGCACAGCCTTTACTCGTCGTCCTCCTAGAGCTACGCTGTAATCTTACTTTTCGGGAAGTACTTCATGTCAAGCCATCATATAGTTGTCCATATACTTCATCTCACTTATCTTCTTTGGTAGCTTTCCTTACTAAAGATACTTTTCTTCTCTAATTTAGTTTAGGTGTATACCTTACTTATGATTCTCTACTAACTTGAGATGTTTTGTTTACTTGAGGTGCTTTACTTACTTGAAGTGCTTTGCCTGCTTGAGGTGCTTTACTTACTTGAGATGCTTTGCCTGCTTGAGGTGCTTTACTTACTTGAGGTGCTTTGCTTACTTGAGATGCTTTGCCTGCTTGAGGTGCTTTACTTACTTGAGGTGCTTTGCTTACTTGAGATGCTTTGCCTGCTTGAGGTGCTTTACTTACTTGAGGTGCTTTACTTACTTGAGATGCTTTGCTTGCTTGAGGTGCTTTGCCTGTTTGAGGTGCTTTGCCTGCTTGAGGTGCTTTGCTTACTTGAGGTGCTTTACTTACTTGAGGTGCTTTGCTAATTCCATATTCAAATCTACTCCGGTTTCATCCATAACTGGATAGGCAGTATCATAAAAAATCTATCCATAAGATTATGCACCAACTTTAAATCATACTGACTAAATATCGGTTTTCTTATAGTATAAGGAAAAAATATGTCATATACATCCAAACAACGATCAATCACCTCAAGCCTTTTTTTAATATCTAACTTTTTTTCATCCCAAAGATCAAAAAGTTTTAAAGATTTATTACAATTAAAATCACCCATACCATTAAAAAGAAAACCAATATTTCTAAGCATTAAATATGCTCCAGTATCATCCTCTGCTATTTTTTTTCTAAATTCTCTATAATCTTCATCAAATGTCTTATGTTTATTCTGATTTAAAATCACAAATTCCGTAAACCATTCTCTCTCTCTTTTAAAAGGAGTTGGTAATTTAATACACTTATCTCCAACAAAAACTTCATCAAATTTTTTCGAATTCACCATTTTTATTTATTAAATTAGATTATCTTTAAATCATTAAACTTTGATTTAGAGTAGTATAGAGGGGATGACTTCCAGATAAACTCAAACCCTATCATTTTCCCTGGTTAATTTCCCTTCTGAGATAAAGCGAGTTCGATTATTGACGGAATATTTTTAAACTGAGCGACAGCGAGTGGAGCCGAGGGGAAGCGAATAGAGCGAACGACTGAGCGAGCGACTATGAACAACCGAGGCGAGCGAGCTGACGGAGCGAAGTTTAAAAATATGACGGAAATAATCGGAACGAGTTTATCGAGGAAGAGAGAAATTAACCAGGGAAAATGATAGGATTTGAGTTGAGGTGGAAGGCATCCCCTCTATACTACTAACAACAGCCAAACGTTCTATGAGTGAGTATGCGAGTCTTCTCTGGGCCTGGTTTTAATCCATTGATGTGTAAGCTTAGAAGGAATCTCGGTGGTCTCCATTCCTGGCTATTGTCAGAGAACCCTCTCTCTGGCTTCCTCGCTACCAGCTCCACTCCGGATTACGGTAAGAGTGGAAGCCTGGGCACCATACACTTGACCATATCGCGTCAGTCACTCAAAGTCAGCGAGGAAGCAATATCTACCGCAGATAAATCACAAGAAATTCCCGAGCAATGCATTGGTTTTCAGCTTCGCTTCTCATTTTTGCAGTCATTTTGTCTGGTAAGTTGTTAACGTTGAGCAGACTCGCCTATTTGGCCGCAATATTTTCCAATTTGCCCAGTATTTGACTGGGAGTGTGTGTCAAGGATTCGGTTTTCAATATGATACTGTTTCTCTAAGTAATATAATTTCGGTGATTTTCCATGATTATGCATTTTCACAGTCGCTAATATGACCAATGATAAGCCACTGACGTAAGTGGCCGTTAGGCGCGGGGATTTAACTAAGTCAAACGATAACAATTTCCTCATACCAGCACCTATATTTTCACGTTATTGCAAAACTTCACAGCGCGCAGTAATACAGAAGCTACAGTATGTCTGGAGTCTGGAGCTTAGTTCTGGCTTCGCTGGGTAATGTATCGAAAAAAAGGACAATGAAAACGTATAACGCAATTTTGGCGTTAAGACATACTACTCCGAAGTGTAGTCGGACAAGAGGTCGTTAAAGGCGCGGGTGGGTCTTACGCAGGTTTCACGGACATTAAAAAGAAGAAATTAGGCATCACGGTGATTAAACTTCCGTATTCGCGTTTCACAAAAATTTCCGAAGTGAAAGGACTGTAATTCACGGATTTTAGTTTGGTATTTTCACCTTTCACGAAAATTGAAGACGCTTAATGCTGTATCACGCAATAACCCCTTTCGCATAATTCAAAGCGCATGAAGCATTCCAGACCACAACAAACCTCCGAAGTGAACTATTGTTTCTATTTTGTGCGACAAAAATTCCAGAAATAAACCAAGCTAAGCCTGAGCGCTTTGGAATGCATTTTCATAAACAAATACCGTTGTTAGGTTCGCTTTTGAATGTTTGTGGTTTTATCTACTATTATCAAAGGGGTTGTTTTTTTTCACGGCTGGCTGTTCTTTTCGTTTATAATGCCAATTGCGTGACCTTTTTCGATATGGAACTTGAGCAATTACTCGTGAATGACCAAAGTACAGCGTCTTGCCAAACAATCAATAGAGTAAAACCCCGCGACTAAGAACCTGGATTTAAGAACCTGTTAGGCTAAAGTTTGCCAGTTAAGCCCCCTCTTTATAAGAACCTGTTTAGCCTAACATTTGAAACAGTTTCTTATTTTCTATAATCTATGAAAAAATTCAGTACACTTGGGAAAACAAGAGAAGTCAAGATTCAGAATCCTCTTTGGAGACAAAGGTGTCGTATCACTCCAACTACAATCTAACGGTCTGCAGGTTTTATATGAGGAATAAGCTGAACCACTGAATACTCTTAGCTTAATTGTATTTTTTTTCTTCAGAAAATAAGAACCTATTTAAGAACCTAAATAGGCTCAATTTATGCTTAACTTGGAAACATCCAGGTTCTTAGCCGCGGGGTTTTACAGTATGTCTTCCAAGCATACGTCGCAAACAAGGAAAATGATGAAAAACTGTTAGGCTAACAAGTTTTCAAAAGTCACAATTGCAATCCATTTTAATCTTCTTCAAGTTTGTCCATTCGTGCCTCCTTTTGTATTTGCTGTGTTATTTATATCCCTAGTGAGGTCAAGATGGCTGGATATTGGCCAATTTTGTTTCTTTTCATTCCTTTCAAAACAAGCCCCAAAGACTAATTATCAGCCGTAGCAAGAGAAACAAGTAATTCAAAAACAGCATGCAAAGAAGGAAGCCGCAGGCTGAGGGAACATTCGAGAAGGGTCATAAACGTGATCAACTCCCTTGATATTGTGAAATTTTAAACAAAGGATGGTACGTGCACCGACCGGTTTACCCATGTAAATGGAAAACAACCAGATTTGATACCGGCAGCAAAAGTAAAGCAAAATCTGCGTAAACCTAATAATTACTCCACATATATGCCTCTCCTGCAGGGAAGTAAGCTTTCACTTTTGAACGAAGTTTGCACCTAGAAAAAATAAGTAGCAACTTTAGCATTCTAAAGTTACAACAAATTTGCTCAACTGGCCGCGAACGTAGGTAAAACTATTTGTTTTGTGCATTGTTTTTACCTCATAGATTGCAAAGGTTTTACTCGTAATACTGAGAGAAAGTTTACAGAATTTGTTTAAGATAACGGGTTTTACGCTCCATATTAAGACGGATGAACTATTAATTCAGTGAAAGGATTTTTTTCGCCCCTTTAAGGGAATCCGGAATCCAGAGTCCTAGGAACTTTCGCTTATGGAATCCTAGCCCGTTCCAGGCTCCAAGGTAGTGGTGAAAAGTCGTTCAGTAAAAAGGCGTAAAAAGAAATGCGAAAAACGCGCGGGGGCTGGGGAGAGACATTTTTCCCGCCGCCACCGCCCCTTTCCCAAGTCACGCGCGTCTTATTTTCGCTCTGCTCGTTTTAACACGTTCCCACCATACTATCTGAGAGCCTGGCACAGGCTAATGGAATCCAGGATCCTGGGCTTTGGAATCCGGAATACACTCAAGGATTTCGGAATCCCACTAACGATTGGATTCTGGAATCCATTACCTAGCTAGAATCCAGAATTCAAGACTATCCTTGAATCGCCCCTCACATGGGGCGATTTTTTGCCAAAACCAGGGTGCAAAGAAAATCATTTTTACAGCTTGCCATTTGGGCAAGCTGAAACTAGCATTTACTAGCCCAGACGTCATTTCAACTAGCCCCCAAAACGTTTTGACTAGCAGAACTGATTTCACAGTTCTTCTGTTAATCGAATTCCTCAAAAAACATCACTTGCTCGTCGGGCAAGTTGAAAACAGAATTCAATAGCCCGATAGCAAAATCCACTAGCTCCAGCCTATCGGACACTACTTTCTTTGCACGCTGAAAACGAAAAGACTTCGTAAAAAATTATTTGCACATGCCACAGCGCGCGCAGATGACAAAACTCATCTCATTCCAGTTATCGATGCACTCGGGAGGATTGCTAAGCGCTCAAGAACTCCGGTCCTCGCCCCTACTTATTCATGTTCCCGGTCCGCTATACTACAGTCCGACCACCTGTTCACACTACGCCAAAGTGTGGCAAAGAGCCTATCCGATAGGTGACGCTCCACAGGCTTTCTAGATCGGCGCTGCACAGCTTCGCTCCGTTACAGAAATTGCGCCGAAATCATTGCTCTTATGTGTGAACAAAAGCACGGTTTTCGATCCGGTATGGTGTGAAAATAGCCTTAGTTGTTACCTTCATCAGCTGCACAATGGGAATATGAAGAACACTAGTACCGCTCGCGCTATTGAATTTGATCATAGTCTCTCCAACGGAGTGTCAGTTGAGAGACTATGATTTGATGCAGGCATAAGCGAATATTCTAGTTATGTTATAATAATAATAATGAATAGCTAGTGTTAGCTTTATTTTCCCGTTCTCCGTGTCTCGTTCTGCGTTTAGTAACATAGTAGGAGGAGGAAATAAAAGAAAAAGGAAAAGGGAAAACGAGGAGGGCTAGAAGAATAAGAGGAAATTTTTGTTTAGTTAGTCTACCTTTATGTCGGCTGGTCAATGTTCAGTTCTTTCACTGTCTTTTATCATGTGTTTAGTTTCTTTCAGTGTCGGTAAAGCTACTCAGGGGCAAACTGACGAACGTATTATGTTTTACGTGTTCGGATCAGAAAACATCTACATCATAGATCCAAAGAGCAAAGAAATTTCGTCTACAATCGGTCCTGATGGTGTTTGTACCAAATCAAACAACAGGTATTCCAGGTGAGCGTTCTTAAACAACAGTGTTTGCCGAAATTTTTCACATGCCTCGCCAAAAATATGGCTGATTACAATGTGAATTGTAACTCTGTTGTTGTTGTTGTT